CCCCCCCCCCCCAAAAAAAAGAGATAAATTGCAAGTAACTATCCCATTATCTTGATTATTGAGCCGTAAGTAAGTAATAATAAAACAACCGAGGGCTTTATCTGCAATTTACCCACAATGAAAAGACAAAAGAGCCCCTCATGGCGCATCCAATCGCACGGCACAGCCATCGAAAAAAGTCCGCCGTATATGTAACGCTAGTCGCTCTTCTTTCCCGTCCCCGCCTTGCTCCGCCACTCGTCTCCCATAACTCCGTCAATATTACAATTCTACCCCTAGGGTTTCTCTTCGCCATCTCAATCCCTTTTCTCTCTCGGTTCGTTCGATTTCTTTTCCGGATCCGTGTAAATTTTGTTCCTTTTGCTGTTTTTAATTCTCAATTTCTCTCTTCTATTTTTTGGGCTATTTTTGCAGGTGAGAATCGGCTGAGATATGGATTATATGCCAGTCTACCAAAATTTGGTGGAGATTTTCCCTCAGGTTAGATTAATTTTCTCCCCACCGTCATTGAAAACTTATGTTTTGGACCGAAATACAAACTGGTGCAAAAATTTCTCTATGGTTGATGTTCTTGTCAAGGGTTTGAAGGAGTTTATTTGATTAATCACAATTAGAAGTATGATCAACCTTAAGGCGAAACCAGTTTTTACAAAGAGAGGTTGAGGGAGGACGTCAAGACAAGAAAGGGATGATTTTTGTTTGAATTTAGAGTTTTGATCTGATCCATCTTGACGCGACATGTGTTCTTCCCTTACTATGCTTAATTGCAGAACACTGTAAGCAGCTAACACTTGTTTGGGACCGCTTAAACCCAGGCGGTGCCTAGACCGCTTTCTAAAACAAGATCTTGAAACATGCATTCTTTAGTTGACATTCTGTGACCTCCCGAGTTTGCGTCTTGTAATTTGGTGGACCGTATAAAGGTCTAACATTTCTAGGGGCTAAATCAGGCTGAAATAAATATTTTATCTTTTTTTAAAAAAATCATTTTATATGTTTATTTTCCTGTTGAAAATGGATAATGCTAACTAAGCTACGAACTTTGTAATACTTACTAGAAACATAATCTCCTGGTTCTTCGTCGTGAATAGATATAAAAAATTGTGAGTCTCCAAGGAATCCAAAATTTTCACTTGTAGTACATAAGTCATATACACTTAGCTAGTTACGTATTGAAAATGCTCTGCACATCTTATAATGTCTAATGATATTGTTCATATTTACACGTGAAGTTGAATTTCATTATAATCTGGATGGATTTTGTGTAATTGTAATCAAGCTAATTATCTTTATTGTATGTTTAGATCTGTTGCTTTTGTTCCTAGAAAAGTGAAGCTCATGTTCTAGGACTTAAATGTGTATTTTTGTTTCAGGTGGATTCCCGATTACTCAAAGCTGCTGCTTTTGAACACTCCAATGATGTTAACGAAGCAGTTGAGTTTATTGTCTGTGAGGTTTTACCATCTTTAAGTGGCCCTTCTGAGTCATCTGACACTGCCCACAATGCTCACAAGGCATCTAATGAGGGTAAATTTGTTTTGTCCTTTTGGCATTAATTGTTTTTTTCTCAGTTCCATAGGCATTAAGACAGTTTGTTCATGTTTCTCTTAGTCAGCTTCTTTCTGTTATCTGACATCATTTAAGCTTCCAGTATTTTGCTATGTTTTTTGGGTACTTGTAATTGGAAGACATGCGTACCTGATGTGTACCCATACCCATATCGGAACTTCTTGAACACTTCTTGAATATATGCATATGTTTATACATGCGTATACTTATTATATAGTACATGTTTTAATTTAAAACACTCGTCATACGCTTCTTTGATGTATATTCTATACTTCACATCTAATATATTAATCTTATGTAAATGGGGAAAAAAGATTGATCTTGTGTGAATGATTAATTTTAATATTTTATATTTTATAAATTTACATAAGATACATATATAGCTGTGTCTCTGTCCCCTGCCATTTAACAAAATTTCGGTGTCTTATACCCATAACCATACCCGTACCACTTGTCTTTTGTGATCGTATTTTATGACAAAATTGCAGTCCAGGCCAAATGCTTTTTCCTCTTAGTTATGTGAGAACACATTTGTTTACATACCTAACCATATATGCGTGTTTATGGATGTGCATGTCAGATTTATGTTCTTCTTTCTTTTTTTAGTGCATAAAAGTGCATCTCATGTGCTGTCTAACAGCAGATCACATGTTGCAAGTGCAGTTCAGCTAAAGGAACATTACCTTGATAATCAAGAAGCTGAAGCAATTCAACCAGAACCAATGTCATGCAGAACTACCATATCTGGTGCCCCTTCTAGTTTCATGTCCCCTTTTAAGGGAGTAGCAGAAGAGAACTTTATTGATCTCGAAAGCAGTAACAATGATTCTTCATTGTTTATTTGGGAAAAAAATTCAGGCTTAATTGGGTATGACTCCTTGATGAAGGATATTTGCAGATCTGTAAGTGAATGTGAAGAGCAACTATCAAGCTCTTTAGTTCAAGGTTCTGATACGATATCTGCTTTCTTGGAACCTGCTCATGATACATCATCTTCTGTTAATGAAAAGAGTACGGATTCTGTAGCGTGCAGTGCTCAAGTGCCAGAGGATGTCACTGATGCTTTTGGTGAAATTGAAGCTTATTCTAAGTATTTAGCAGATGGTCATGATTCGGCCCGTCATACAGAAATGATTTCTATTGATGATGACAATGTACCCGTCATTGTATCTACTCGATCAGGTCATGTTATTAACATTGACCTTCTTGATGATTTTGTAGCGGATGCCAGAAACAGTAAGGTATGACTTATGCCGTCCAATTTATAGTATAATCTGTACGGACTTTTTTTGGCCTGTTTTAGCTGAAAAAATTATCTATATGTAATTAGATAAGATCTAGATTCTAGTTTGCATGAGTATTGCCCTGCATATAAAACCTAATCATCAAAAAATGCATTGATGGCATACATTTGATGTCTTTTTAAAGGAAAAGAATATCAAAGTCAGGTTCTACACAATAAAAAGTATAAGTTCATCTTTACTTGGAATTATATGATTTTAGTTGGAAAAGACCAAACTTACAATTGTTAATCTCAATATGTTAAGAAGTTTTCTAGGATCCACAAGGGTCTGAAATGTGATGCAATAAAAAGTATGTGATAAAAATATCCTTGAATATATTAGATACTTATACTGGGCTCTTTTCTGTGCATTTTGTTTTATTGGGATTCATCACAAAAGTTAACATGTTAAACAGTTTTAAAATATCTATCAAAACTGAAGTTTTGAGTTTATTTTCTTTGCAACCATGATCCTTGTGCTTTTTGTGTGGGTAGTAAGATATTTCTTCTCATATTTTGAGCATTTAAGGGAAATCTTCTGCTGAGACGTGCTGGTTTAAAATGTTAGATATCTCCTGCATGCCACAGTTTGTTGCTAGGATTATCTGAGCACCTCATCTTTTGAATTTCTCAACTGTCTAAGCCTATGAATTACAGGCACTATTGTTAGGGTTAATTTCACATCAACCTTTTTTCAGTATACATCCATAATAATGTATCACTTCTCTTTGTGGATATTAACTACCAGATCTCCTGACTGATCAATGCTATTAAAAGAGTTGTTAGTTAGAGTTTTCATGTGCAAATCACATGATGGCATTAGATATTTTTTTACCTCACTTAAAACATGTATAGCGTAGCAGGTATATCTGCAGCTAAACATGTAATAACATGGTCTTGGGGGTGGAAATTATGTACCTCTTTGGATAACATATGAATATTTTGTACAGATAAACATATACAATTTTCGTCATAACAAGGAAAATATCAAGAAAAAAGAAGTAAATACATGAAGCACAAGAATAATGTCATCCCGCTGGTTTTTTTAAGTAACTCTTCCCAAGCTCTATATGACATAATCTTCATCTTCCCAAAATACCCCCTTCCAAGCTCCAAAGCTCAAACCTGAACCCAAACTTGAACCCAGGCTCAGGCCTGCAGCATCTTCTCCATAGGTAGCGAAAATTGGGTCCACGCCTTCACCACCGACCTTCACTGAGCTTGTACTAGTGAATGACAAATCCTGCCCTTTGATAGAGCCACAGAAGGTCTATCTGGAATTGGGAGATACTGAAGGGGGCCTCTCTGCAATTAACCCTAGTTAATATCGTGTCAGAATAGGTACTTCAAGAAGACACTTGATCCAATTTTTTACTGCAAGTTGGGTGGGTGTTTTTCTTTTCTCGTTTTTGGTTCAGTTGTTGATAGACACCCCCATTAATTAAGTTAATCTTTTTGTTTTTTTTATGAGAAGGATAAGTGCAATAACTCAATTTTATTAAAATAGAATGAAGAGAAAGAATACATATGTGGAGGGAGAGAAGAGAGTTTGCAACTTGGAGAAGTCGATAAACTACCGGTTTCATGGTCGGTGTGAGTGCCGGTAAGTAGAGCTGAATTATAGATAATATCTGTTGGAGTCGAACATTTACTGTTAATTGCCCGTTGGTTTCTTTTCCCTTTCAAATCAACCAAAGTGTTGCAACAAGAGTGCACTCCATTTCTTTTTGATCATTGAGTAGAATAATTGGCGTTCGCCAATCATGCCGAAGATCTAATATTAAAGCAGGCCACTAAAAGTGCTCATAATTTGTGATGTTGCCATATCTGTCTTGCGACACAACACTCTAGGAGAAGATGTTGGGAAGAATTTATTGCATTGTGACAGAGAATGCAAGATTAAGGAACACGCACTTCATGCTACACCAACTTTTTTTTCTGTAGGTAGGTGGTCAAGTAGAGCTGGCAAAACTCATACTTCGTATTTGAGAGGAACTTGAGATGACCAAAGACATAAGGTGTGAACTTGGGTGATCTATAGTGGTGTACTACCAGCAAACTGAGAAGACTCCATTATTAGAAAGTTTCCAGACCCTCCCGTCGAACCTACTAGAAAGTTTTTGTGACTGCAAAAGATTCGTGAGCTTTCGTAAACAATGGAAAACATGTTGAGAAATTAAATAATGAAAATATACCAAAGGGTAGTAATGAAATTATTGAGTGATTATTGATGAGAGGAAGTATAGAAGGTTAGCTATGAAATTAAATTAATAAAAATACATTTATGGGATGTGTTATGCTGTGACTACAAGAGCTTTAGCATTTGGTCAGTCGTGGGTCTATCTGCTAATATCCAAGGTGAAGGTGATAAGTTGCAATGGGTCTAAAGTGCAGGTTCTATCTGCTCATTAACCTTTTCTTTATTATATGGTGTTAGGTGTGAAATAGAGAATAGGGGAAGAAAGAGATTTTTATGATATATTAAAGTATAAGTTTCACGGGATAAAGGGAGAGAGATATGCTGTTCATGGTGAATTCTGAAGTGATGGGGTTTGGATTAAATGGTTTGAATAAATCCTGGTCATATTTGGTCTTATTGAGAGGGATGGATAATCTGGAAGCTTTGTGGAAAATAGAGCAATAATTGGTAATGGGTAAAACAGGAATACGAAAGAGGAACAAAGGAAAAGATGGAATGATTGTTTGCACACAGTTAACTTTAGGAAGACTGAAAATGAATTTATACATTAAAGCTCAATCGGATCTTATATGGGCCCAAAGATTCTTTTGCTCACATGCTTCTAGCTTATTTCTTTAGGTGTATCACAAAATGTTTCATAAGCCTTTACAGTTACGCATCAGCCATACGTTACCTCACTTTGATGCTGAGTTGTTTGACCCCTGATAAAACATGAAACATAATTTGAGTAGTTGTATCTTTGTTCTTTCTCAGCCTTTTTATTGGTGTTAAATTGTTCGTAAAAACTGTTACAAGTCCTAGCATTGTCAGCTCTTTTACCTTAATAAACAACTTCTGAAATTTGTGCCGTATAGCATGCAGAATGTCACATTCTGAACTGAGACATCTGCGAACTCATAATATTTGATGATTTCTGATGTTTCATGAAAAGTTGTTATATTCCTGTTTCTTTCTGTTCATTTATAATTTGTTCTCACTGCTTCTTGTCTTTGTCCTGCTTGGTGTTATCTGCTTTCTCTATACTTGGGCAGAGAGAACATTATCACTGGGGCAGTATTTGATAGTTTCTATATGATAGCTATTGTAGGAGGCTTGACGACTTATCCTGATGTTCATGGCCCCTCCCCACACCAAAAAAAAAATAAAAATAAAATGAAATAAAATTAGTGGTCCATTCCGTCAGTTGTCTGGAAGATGCGCTTCATGTAGTTAAAAGGCTTATTATTTATCAGGATGCTGGTGACCTTGGATAGATAAGCGAAAACAATTCCAATGAAAATGAATGCTTGATGCCCTACCATTAGTTATATATTGCGTATATTGGATCTCCTTGATATTAGATTCCTGTATCATGTGTTACAACCATTTTCTGATTTTGGAGAGCTGATTGATACCTCAATTTTTATTTAACTTTTAGTTATTTTGCGTGGTTATTATCTGTAAGGCTGTTTTGCTTCCTGCTTACTATGAGTTGTTTTCCTTTCAAGGCCTGAAACAACCTCCTGAGTACCAGGAAGCTACCTTCCTATTCACATGTTTTGTGGCATCCTTAATTTCTTATATTCATGTCCAACGTACCCTTAATTTCGTATCATGTAAAAAAAAAAAAGAATCATCTCTTTATCATATGACCTTTTGTGCTACGTACGTAGGTACAAAGGAAGCATTAGTATTCTATTTTCAATCATATCCCATCTATTGATTTCAACAGAAGTTGACACAATTTCTAATATTATCTACCTAACAATGCACAGAAAAAATTAGTATCTGGTGTGGAGTCAGTTGTTAATATGATGAAAGAGGCAGAACTTCTTGAGGGGAGGGCCAAACAAGCGAAGGAAGAAGCTTCCTTAGCTGGTCAGAATATCCTTACAAGGGTCGAGGAACTTAAACAAATGTCACAACATGCACAACAAACAAGTGATAGGGTTTGTCTCAATGATCTTGCTCATTTTTCCTTATGTAGCTGCTCAAGTGAATAAAAAAATGCTGAAAATGTTGGTTGAATTTGGCAGCATGCTGGAGAAGTGTATGGTGAGAAATCTGTCTTATCAACTGAAGCTAGGGAACTGCAGTCTCGTCTTCTCAATTTATCAGATGAAAGGGATAAATCATTTTCAGTCATTGAGGAGGTTCGACCTTTATCTTTTATCATTATCCATGTACTCTGAAATACTCCTATATTTATCACTAATAATCAGGTTTTTTATTTGACCATCTAATTTAGAAATCAGCTAATGTTGGCTTGGCAATTTAAATACATGATATCTGTTTTACATCAAACATTTGAACCTTAGATGCATGGAAATATAGTAGAAATTCATACACATGCACCGGCACAAACATTTATTCATGCATATAGATAGATATAATTTTGAGATGTAGAAGAATGGAAGAATTGCCCTAGTTTCTTCTTAAAGCATCAAAACGACTCAGTGCACCTTTTCTTTAAAAAGAAGTATGAAACAATATGAAACATTTCATATTGACAAACTTTTGCATACCGAAAGTTACAATTTGATAGCATGATATTTTTTTGTTCTGAAATATCATATTATTGTTTAACTCTTTTTTTTGTAAAGAAACAAATCTTCTACTTATAGTATCCTTTACAAAAATTATTGAAGTGATTCAGGGTAAGGATCATTTAATACCACTGGGTAACCCTAGATGCTTATCTAGGTTGTTAGTTAGAACATCAACTCATCTTGCCAGTATACCGCTTAGTTTGCTTTGGGAATCATTCCTAAATTTTAAATTTCTATGTTGTGATTAATTCTATTTCCAAGATTCACAAGGGACTAGAATACAATAAAAGCTCAGTTTTAGTCACTTGGAATCGTTCGGCATGGATACATTTGATACATTTGATTATAACCGTTTAAGTTAACATTTTTTTTTTATTTTGAAGATTTTGTTTATCCAACAAGAGCAAACAATGGCTTTACTTGAGCTTGCCTTTTATACGTGCTCAAAGTTAGAATCGCATGCAATTTTGAGTCATAATCTAACAACAAACGAAAAGGTTGTGGTCTAATGTCAACAGTTCATGACTAAACAGGTCTTGCTATTCACCAACATAACCTTATAAGATTTGTGCTGATTCCCTCTCTTGTCATGATTTCCTCCGCCATTGGCACCAAACTAAAGAATTGACTTCAAGTCGACGGCAAGTTCCAAATTTGTCAATTATTTCATGGTGCCCTTTCTCTTGAAATTTTATATGGATAGGCAACGATGATGACTGAATCTATTGACCTGCTTGGAAAATTCTCTTGCGCTTTTGATATTGGCTTAAAAAAATTTAATTAGCTTTCACTATGTCTATTAATCTGGAAACCTCCCTTTATCCAACTAATATCTCTGACGATATTGGATGCTAATGCTGTTGATTTAAATGTTTTTGTACACTGTATTTTCTCCCATTTAAACACCTGATTGATTCAGTGTTCATATTTGGAGAGTATAAAATGTGTTGTGTATGACGTGTCAAGCAATGAACATATCCAGACCCTTACGTGCTTAGGTGGCTCAGATGTTTTGACAACCTCTTCCTCCCAATCCTTTCATTTTTCCTGATTGATTCCGTACTTTTTGTTATGCATGCAAGCGAGTCCATTCCTTTATAATTCTAGATCTGATATATTTATGTCATTAATTAGATTCGTGAAGCTCTTGAAGCAAGAATAGCTGATGCAAAGGATGAAATAGCTGCAGCTGAGCAGGAAAAGCTCGAGAAGGAAGAACTAGCCCAGAAGGCTTTGAAAGAACAAGAAGCCTTTATGGATGCCATAGTACAGGAGTCCAAAACATTCCAGCAGCAAGCAGAGGAAAATGCCAAGGTAAATTACTGATGTTATAAGCACTATTAGTATGTGTTAATTTATAAAAGGTTTGACCCTTGTGTTATGTTGTATTGATTACTTTCTTTGTTTATTGTGGGAACAGTTGAGGAACTTCTTGGAGGAGAGTGGTAAAATTGTAGATACATTGCAGTAAGTTTTTACGTTGTAGTACTCTCTGTTCTTTTCTTTTTTGTCTGAATTATGTCTCAGCATAGTCATGCAATAATTTGTAAGCTCCCATTACTTTTTTTTCTTTCATTGATTATGCACGTCTTTCTTCACAGTTTTGGTATAATAGCCACTAACATAGTGAATATTTTCTATTTGTCTTCCTATATAGGGGAGAAATTGATGTGATTTGTGAGGATGTGATGTTGCTCAAGAGAAGAGTTGATGAGCGAGCACCACTGAAGGGATCGCTATTAATGTCCACTTACAGCTCAGCCTCTTCATCAAGCTCATCCGGTCATAAAAGTATTTCTTTGGGAAGTGAAAACAGTAGAAAGATCGGTGAAGATACCTCAAGCAGTCAGGAGCACGATATCATTATTGCCATCAATGGCATCTTAAATGTTGATGCCTTCGGCAAGCAGAAATCAGCTTCAATTGATGACTGGGAGTTTTTGAAACAGGATGCTTGCCCGTTCTAAGATACACTGAAACATCATTTAAAGAATCCTTGGAGGTTTTGCTTGTGGTATATTTGCAACATATACATCTTTTTCTTTCCTGCTGTGTACATCTTTTAAGTAAGTTTTGAAGCCATATTATTGCTTGTTTTTACATTATAATGTGTATATATATCTATAGTTCATCATTGGAGTATATGCATGTTTTTGATAGTTCCATACTGCTCAATTTCGCGCATGAAATCAGCAGCTCATATTGCATATAGAAAATGTGCTTCAACAATCTGTTTCTGGCTGCTAAAGTCTACATCTTTAATGCTGATGCTGTAATGTAAATGGACTTTGTGTGTTCTTCTGCTTTACTTGGTTCTTTTATATGCGTCTAGTTACGTGCGTATGTTAAGAGTCCCTATCTTTACGAATGCGGAGCCAACCAACAAATGATAAAGTTTTTCCTTCTTTTTCCTTTTAATAACAAAGTTAGATCATTGTGTTTTGTGTATGGAAAAGTTAATAACTATCCATATTCATGTATAATCTTAAAAACCATCACTTTTCATTATATTGTGAGGGGTAGAGGTCATTTTCACGTGCAGGACATGTAGATATCACGTACGCAGTACAGGTTGGTGGTGTGCGCTACAATGATAGCGAGGCTATCTGTCACGCTTAATTTTCGAATCGGGTGGGGGCAGTAGCATGCATGAAAATGACCTTAACTTCTTCACTTCTTTACCTTTTTTATGAAAAGAACCTACCCATCACCGTATCCTGTTAATTATTGCACAAGTCAAAGCAATAATATTTTGCTGGATTATGTGGAAATAATGTAGAATAGCATTACAAAATCGCAGATGGTTTTTACATGCTATAATTTTCAAGGATGGGTTAATGAGAATGATTATCCTGATCTCGCTTTGAGTAAATTTTGAACATGTTTGTTCGTTTATTATTATGTTGTTTGGATTGATCTAAATTGGATGTATAAGTATCGAAGGAGTTTGATGTAATTGGAGTTGCAAGTTGCGAAAAGTTTTGAAGTTGCCTTGCAACGAGACTAGCGCATCAACACTTTCATGAGAGAGTATCGAAATGGGTCTGATCCATGACACTAACAACTCTATGTTTAGATAAGTTTTCTTAAGAATTTGTATAGTGATTCAAGGATAGACATCAGCAAAATGATTACAAATATTGTGCTGCAACATATTTTACGAAATGGAAAAAAAAAAAAAAATCATGGGTTATGGTCATCACCACCATGATCATCCTGCCCAATTAAAGTGCCAGCCCTCATTTCTACCCTCAAACTTTTATAGGGTTATCTTTATTTCGGTAGAGGAGAATCTAGGCATGACCTTCACACCAATACACAGAGGATCCTAAAGACCGGATCTTTGATTATTCCATTTTGAGTCAGATTTTGATTTTGACCCACATTGAATGATAACCATCAATGAAGATTTTTTGATTCGCATTGAAAATGACAACCATCAACGACCCTAACACTTGTAGAGCGCCCCTAATTCTGGTTCGCGCCGCAACTCATCTTATCCTCCTCCTCCTGAATCCAAGGTTAATTATTGGCTGGGATTAGCAGATGCAGTTGGGGTGCGCATCCAGTGACATGTGCGCGTCATTTTTCAACATCGCAGTGGGTCTTTGATGATGAACCCATCCTTTTCACACAAGATTCTTATAGCATGACACCTCCCAGCTGTTCTTATCTTTATCCCTACCATATTTTTCCTTTTCCTTTTTCTGAGCTTGGGGGGAAATTTCCTCCCCCCCTCTAATTGTTACGTTCAGAAAATGTCAAGCTTTTGGACGGAGGATTGACAGTAAACGCGATTAGGATCTAACTCGGGTCTTGACTGATATGATATTAACATATATCATGCATCTCTTTTCTTATAATTCTCATCAGTAATACGCTCAAATCAAAAGCGATGGATAAGATGTGTGACATATTACCACCACATCAATTAAGGAGCTAGAGTGTCGTAGGAGACTATATATGTGTATGTATAGTACTTTTGCATGAGAAATTTCGTGGCTCCTGCATACCTATGCTAAAATTAATGATACTCTATGACTTATTTCATGATAAGTTTTAAAAAAATTGCTAGTGTGGTCCCACACATCTCGACAAAGCATCTAAAAATAGTATTAAGAGAAATTCTATAAATAGAGGTACCAATCTTGAGGGCTGTTTTACCATTGATACACGACAAAGCTAGTATGTGGGGAATATAATATGGACGGAGGAGAGTATATAGATACTAACTTGAAAGAGTGGTTCCTATATTAGATCAATAAAGTTATGTGTGCGTGTGTGTATGCGTGCGTGCACCCCATAAGAAAATGGAGAACCATGTGTGCCTGGCGTTGACACACATTCAAACCACTACAATCCAGATCATCAATATAACTAAATCCTATTTAAAAACTCAAATGTGTGTCACACTAGCATCATATATACTACCAGCATCACGGGGGAACACACGAAACCTCGTATATACATTACAAATGAGCAAAAATCATAAGCTACACATGTCCACCAACAAACTGCATCGCGAAACCCGTATGAAGTTGTTCGTGTATACCTGAAAATTTCCACATAAAATTCCCACAATTAATCAACCCTACATTCTATTTACCCACAATAATCACAACCGAAATTTCCATTCTCCCTATCAACACAATCCTCTCTTTGCGATCCATCACAACGTTGTATACAAACACCCACTAATTTACGTACTTACCCGGCAATCCCCACGTTAGTTTATAGCCTAGCGTGAAAACTCAACACCATCTCCTCCTCCTCCTCCTCTCAAAATCGACGAAAACTTGTCGATCTTCGTGCGGAGACGGCGGCTGGCTAAGCGTACTTGTGCCAACAGATGAGCATGGAGATGCAGGTCCTCATAATGTAGAACTTCCCTTTCTGTTGCCTCGCCATTCTCCTCAATTTCTCTAGCTTTTGCCCCATGTTACTCATTAACTAATCGATTTCTCTCTCAATACTTAGCTCCTAATTAACTAGTAGCTATTTGCATGGAGTTAGAGAAGAGTAAAGCACTAGCTAGTGAGACCGCTCCACATTGTCCTTAGTATTTAAAGTGTGAGTTTAGGTTCCATCAATATCACTGAGGGTCATGACTTTCACGTAAGTGAGTGAGACAATTGAAAATGAGAGAATTAAAATCAAGAAATAGATAGATTGTAATATTATGTTATGGGACAAATGGGGTCCCTTTGGAACCCCGGCCAGTTCACGTGCTACTTGTTTCCTAACAACGCCAACATCATCATCCGAAAACCTACTTACTCCGACGTAGCTTGCTTCTTCCTACGTGTGGATCCCATGATGATGTTTATGCATATTTTTCTGTGGGAATATATGGGCTACAGGTACATATGTTGGGGATTCGAAACAATCAAATCGAGCAATTGTCCTTTCGGACCTTGTGTTTGAGACTACAAATAAAAGATAAAAACTTACAGGAAAATAAACAAGAAATAACACACCAGATTTAACAAGATTCGGCAATCGTGCCTACGTCCTCGGGAGTCACACCACACAATTCTTTGATTAATATTGAAGAACATTACAATGCCCACAAATGGGATCTAATCTCTCTGAGATCTTTCTGAAGAAATTCTCTCAAAACCCTCTTTTTCTAATGTCTAATATCTTCTAAGGCGTTCCATATATATAGAAAACCTAAAACCAAAACAGACTAGAAATTCTAAAACCAAAAAGCAAAACAGATTAGGAATTCTAATAACCTGTTACCAAAATAGATTAAGAATCATGTTACTAAAACAGATTAATCCTGTTACTAAAACGGATTAGAAAACCTGCTATCCAATAATTTGTTTGATTCCAGCTTTGAGTCTACATCCCTTAGACTAACAATCTCCCACTTGGAGACCAAAGCACAATCAACGAGCTCACCCGAACTCTCCCTTCAATCTCCCACTTGGAGACCAAAGCACAATCAACGAGCTCACCCGAACTCTCCCTTCTTCACAAGCATCCCCCTACACGGAAAAAATCCATTCTTCAATCATCATCAACCCGGCGATCCCGCCGATCCTCCTGGTGTGGCTCCGCCTTCATCTCCTACATGTGAAGACCTACTGAAGTTACGCACAACTTTAGTTTGTCAATGATCACTGCTTTCGTCAACATATTCGCATGATTTTGACTCCCCAAAATCTTCTCTAGATGTAACTTCCCGTTCTCAATCAGAGAGCGTATAAAATGGTATTGTACGTCAATGTGCTTTATTTTGGAATGATATACTGGATTCTTAGCAAGATGTATAATGCTATGACTGTCACAATAAAGAACTCCTCTCCCTTGTTTCAGATCCAACTCTTCCAGTCACCTGTTTAATTAAATCATCTCCTTGCTTACTTCAGTCACCGCGACATACTCAGCTTTAGTTGTAGATAAAGTTACAATCTTCTGCAGACGTGAAACCCAACTCACTGCTTTTGACGCCAAGGTATAAACATACACCGTGGTGCTCTCCCTCGTATCATGATCACTGGCAAAGTTCGCATCCACGTATCCTTGCAGTACCAACTCCTTCCTCCTGAAGCATAATGGCTTGTCTGTTGTCCCTCTCAAGTAGCGCAATATCCACTTCACGACCTCCCAATGCTGCTTTCCTGGATTGCTTACAAACCTGCTCACAACTCCTACTGCATGGGCAATGTACAACCTCGTGCAAACCATCGCGTACACGAGACTCCCAATGGCCGAAGAATATGGCACCCTGCTCATATGCTCTCTATCTGTATCTGTCTTAAGTGATTGCTCTTCATATAGCTTGAATTGGCTTCTAAGGGGCATGCTAACAACCTTAACATTCTGCATATTGAACCTTTGAAGTACCTTCTCGATGTATTCAGCTTGACTCAACCTTAATGTTCCTTCAGCTTTATATCTACTGATTCACATCTCTAGAATCTGCTTCGTTGCACCCAGATCTTTTATAGCAAACTCCTTTGCTAACTGCTTCTTTAAGTTGTTTATCTCCTCTAAACTTGGTCCTGTAACTAACATATCATCAATATACAATAACAATATGATAAAACTGGACTTGAACCTCTTGAAGTAGCAACAATAATCTGAATTGTATCTTTTGTAGCTATTGTTTTGCATGAAGTTGTTGAACTTTTTGTACCACTATCTCAGAGCCT